GGTCTAGGCCCGAAACGTCAGCCTTCCTGCTCCTCTGATGCTGCTTGACCTGCTGTGTTCATCCAGCTCTACACCTTGTTATCTCTAGGACACAGGCAGGGCCCAGTTACAGAGATGCAGCATGGGGCTGACACACTGGTCCCACTGTGAATACAGGCACCGCTCCACTCAAATTACAGGCACAGATACCATCTCAGCCCTCTCTGGGAGGGGAGGTTTGAGCGGATCAGAGGAAGGGGAGATAGAGGGAGGGGAGACTGAGGTGGTGGAAAGAGAGGGAGGGGAGAGAGAGTATAAAGGGAGGGGGAGTGGAGGTAGGGGAAGAAAGGAAAGAGAGATGGAGGGATAGAGAGACAAGGCAGACATGAATTATAGCAGAGGGGAGGGTTGAGCAAAAAGTGGGGAGGGGGAGGCTCAGTTTGACAGAAATGAAGAAACCAGGGAAACTGTGGAAGACATTGATGGCGAGATCAAAGAGATAAATAACCAGCGAGAGCGAGTCTGTAAGACAGAGAGGGGACGAATGGGACAAGTTTAAACTGGAAACAAGTGGCATTGAGAAAGGGAGGGAAAGGGAAAGGGAAAGGGAAAGGGAGGGAAAGGGAAAGGGAGGGGACCTGAGGGGACCTGAGCAAAAGGGGCCTCTGCCGGAGTCTGGCCACATGTAGTCGAGGGAGAGATGGAGGTAGTTTCTGGAGCTGAGCCTTTGAGTAGATAGCATCCTGGGGGTAAAATGAGAGAGGGGTAATAAAGAAACTGATTCTCACCGCTCCTCGCTCGAAGTCATTGTAGAGGGGTTTATCCAGGAGGGTTTTCTCACTGCAGCCTTCACTTCCCACCAGAGTCAGGTAAACATAATCATCCGTGCCTGCAAACCACTGGTGCCCGGTGGCGACCGTCACCGTATAGGAGACCATCTTCCCGGAGCGCAGCTTAGTCCCAGGCTCTAACACATCACCGCACTGACTGCCAGAGGGAGCCTTACAGCGTGGTGAAGGCTCTCACTCCCGGGCCCGGAGTGACTCGCTATGGTTCCGCCCAGTGTCTTCACTCTGAATGAAAGCCTTCCTCTCTCGTCCCCAAACGGCGGGGACTACAGCCCACAGCTTTTGCCAAACAAGGACACAGAAAGTAAAACAAAGGTAGTCCAGGTTTCCGACAGCGAGGGCGTACTTTATAACGTGATCTTTGTAATTTCACATTCTGGTTAACTACACACACAGCAGCTCGACCTGTGAAAGGAACAGCTGAATGATTCGAGCTGGAAACTGGTGCCTTATTTTTTTTTAAAAAAACAGAAGTTTCGTGCTGGAATAGCAGCGGCACTTTGGGAAAGGGGCCAGTGCTGCCGGAATGGTCCCGGTCCAAGGGGAGGCCACTCGGCCCGAAGTGGGTGCCACCTCCCTGCAGGGGTTGAGCCAGCCAGTCCCACTCTGCCCCCTAGCTCTGCAGAAGTGGTCTCTTCAGACCAGGCGGAATATCATTTGAAAACTGCAATGAGCTCCTCAGAGCTTCAAGAACAAAAACAAAGTTGCTGGAAAAGCTCAGCAGGTCTGGCAGCATCTGTGAAGGAGAAAACAGAGTTAACGTTTCGGGTCCGGTGACCCTTTCCTCAGAGCTTCACATTGCTGCTACAGACTCCGGGCGCTATCCTGTCTACCTGTGCAGATACCTTCAGGGATCTATGCATTTGGCTTGCCTCTCGCTCTCTTTCTGTCTGAGGGAGAAACCTGCCGGTTGAAAGATCGCAGGAGACAAAAGCCATATAGTTCAGCTTACAGAAGGGGTTAGATGGAACTAGACATATACCTTTGCCTGGGGGGAGTTGGCGGTTTCAATGTTACTGAGCAGAGTCAACAGCCCTGGAGCCGTCCAGACTTGTCACAGTTCTGATGAAGGGACTCCAAACGTTGACTCTGTTTTCTCTCCAGACTTGCTGAGGTTGTCCAGCAATTTCTGGTCAGTGTTTTATAAAGTTAGAACAAGACTTCCTTGCTCCTAGATTCTACGGACTGGTTAATGAAGTCAAGCATCCTGTATGCCTTCTTCATCACCCGGTCTACCTGTGCTGACGCCTTCAGGGATGTACGCACTTGCCTTTCCTCATAAGGCATTCCTCTCATTTCAGTTATTAGTATTCAGAGTTCAGGTTTTAAAGACTTTGGCCTAAGATTGGGCAAAATGGGTTATTCACAACTTCAGACAGAGATGGATGTTAAAGGAGCTGTTATGTGGATACTATGGAGAAGACTGGAATAAAAAATGAGAGGGAGATGAGGAGCTGGAGGCAAACTAATTTGAATGGCAGAGAGGAATGTCTGGCGTAGGGTTATCATGCAAAGAGTCCAAAAATGCACTTTTAGGGCCTTTGAAAAAGTTGATGAGCGTCAAGACTGAACCCTGTTTTTTGGGGGAGTGCTGTCTGCATTTGTCGTGAAGTTGATAGCCAAGGCATGGGAATCTCCAGCCACAGTCACCGTCAGTGGGGCACCGGCCTCAAACTAGCATGCCCCAGAAAGGCAGCACACAATTAAATAACCAGCTAATGCCACTGTGAACGCCTGAATTGAATCTGCCTCCACCACATTTCCAGGCAATGCATCCCATACACTAACAACTCGCTATGTGAAAAGGTTTCTCTCAAAGCACCCCTTGCTTTGTTTGCACATCATTTTAAATCTTATTTCCTCTCATTCTATTTTCTTTTATGAGCAGGAACAGCTTCTCCCTATCTACTCTGTGCACCCCTCTCATGATTTTGTAGTCTCTGACATATCTTTTTTCAGCCTTCTTCTCTCTGAGGAGAGCAGTCCAACTTCTTCAATCTATCCTCATCACTGAAGTTTCTCTTTCCTGGAACCATTTTTGTAAACCGCTTCTGCAAATCTTTCTTATAATGTGGTGCCCACAACTGTACACATTGCTCCAGCTGAGGTCTAACAAGTGTCTTGTATAAGTTCAACATCACCTCCTTATTCTTGTACTCTAAGACCTACTAATAAAAATGAAACATAGTCAAAATATTTTGTTGACAAAATATACTTCAAAATAAATTAATTCATTGTACAGCACTGGGGTCAGAGTTGGTGCTATATGTACGCATGTGCTCTCTTTTAGGCCAGTGTTGTTGGTCTCCAATGACTGGACATATTGAGTGATCCATTAAGATCATAGGGAACCGGAGAATTGCTGAGTTTGCTATGGGATATTGTTTTTGATCTCTCAAGGTGATTCCACTCACATCAATTCATTCACGTCTCAGTGACAGTTGACATCAGATGAATATTTTGTGCTATTTGGGATTTTCGCTTCCAACAAAATGTTCTCTCCACTGAAGATGTGCATTTTGCTCATGTATTGCTGTGTGTTGCTCATGTGTTGCTGGTTCTGGGATGGAAGGCAACTGGAGATGTGAATGTGAGATAACAAGGTGCAGAGCTGGATGGACACAGCAGGCCAAGCAGCATCAGAGGAGCAGGAAGGCTAACGTTTCGGGCCTAGACACTTCTTCAGAAATGGGGGAGGGGAAGGGGGTTCTGAAATAAATAGGGAAATAGGGGGAGGCGGATAGAAGATGGATAGAGGAGAAGATAGGTGGAGAGGAAACAGACAGGTCAAAGAGGCGGGGATGGAGCCAGTAGAGGTGAGTGTAGGTAGGGAGGGGATAGGTCAGTCCAGGGAGGACGGACAGGTCAAGGGGGCGGGATGAGGTTAGTAGGTAGGAGATGGGGGTGGGGCTTGGGGTGGGAGGAGGGGATAGGTGGGAGGAAGGACAGGTTAGGGAGGCGGGGATGAGCTGGGCTGGTTTTGGAATGCGGTAGGGGGAGGGGAGATTTTGAAGCTTGTGAAGTCCACATTGATACCATTGGGCTGCAGGGTTCCCAAGCAGAATATGAGTTGCTGTTCCTGCAACCTTCGGGTAGCATCGTTGTGGCACTGCAGGAGACCCAGGATGGACATGTCGTCTGAGGAATGGGAGGGGGAGTTGAAATGGTTCGCGACTGGGGGAGGTACAGTTGTTTAGTGCGAACCGAGCATAGGTGTTCTGCAAAGCGGTCCCCAAGCCTCCGCTTAGTTTCCCCGATGTAGAGGAGGCCACAACATTTATCCAGGAAGCATTTATCCAGGCTAGGAGGCTGGGAACACACGAAGCAAGGGTGGAATACAAGGAAAGTCAAAAGAAACTTAAGTGAGGAGTCAGGAGGACTAAAAGGGGCCATGAAAAGTCATTGGCCAATAGGATTAAGGAAAATCCAAAGGCTTTTCATATATATATAACGAGTGAGAGGGCAGCCAGCAGAGGGTTGGCCCACTTAAGGACAGGGAAGGGAATTTATGTGTGGGACCAGAGGAACTGGGCGAGGTATTAAATAAGTACTTTGCATCAGTATTCACCATAGAGAAGGACTTGGTGGATGATGAGTCTGGGGAAGGGTGTGTAGATAGTTTGGGTCATGTTGAGATCAAAGGGGAGGCGGTATTGGGGGTCTTGAAAAACATTAAGGTAGACAAGTCCCCAGGACCTGATGGGATATAACCCAGAATACTGAGAGAGGCAAGGGAGGAAATTGCTGGGACCTTAAGGGAAATCTTTGTATCCTTACTGGTCCTAGAGGATTAGAGAATAGCCAATGTTGTTCCTTTGTTTAAGAAGGGTGGCAAAGATAATCCAGCTAATTACAGGCCGGTGAGCCTTATGTCAGTGGTAGGGAAATTGTCGGAGAGGATTCTTCGAGACAAGATTTACTCCCACTTGGAAATCAATGGGTGAATTAGCAAGAGGCAACATGGTTTTGTGAAGGGTAGGTTGTGTCTCACTAACTTGGTTGAGTTTTTCTGAGGAAGTGACGAAGATGATCAATGAGGGTAAGACAGTGGATGTTGTCTACGTGGACTTCAGTAAGGCCTTTGACAAGGTCCCTCATGGCAGGCTGATACAGAAGGTAAAGTTGCATGGGGTCAGAGGTGAGCTTGCAAAATGGATAAAAAACTAGCTCAGTCATAGAAGACAGAGGGTAGCAGTGGAAGGATGTGTTTCTGAATGGAGGGCTGTGACTAGTAGCACTCCTCAGGGATCAATGTTTGTAATATATATATAAATGACTTGGAGGAAAATGTAACTGGCCTGATTAGTAAGTTTGCTGATATCACGAAGGTTGGTGGAATTGCAGATAGTGATGAGGAGTGTTAAAGGATACAGATCGGTTGGTGACTTGGGTAGAGAGATGGCAGATGGAGTTTAATCTGGAAAAATGTGAGGGAATGCATTTTGGAACGTCTAATCCAGATGGAAAATATACAGTAAATGGCAGAACCCTTATGAGTACTGATAGGCAGAGGGATATGGGTGTACAGGTACACAGGTCACTGAAAGTGGCAGCACAGGTGGAGAAGGTAGTCAACAAGGCATACGGCATGCTTTCCTTCATCGGCTGGGGCATTCAGTTTAAAAATTGGTGGTAATGTTGCAGCTTTATAGAACCTTAGTTAGACTGCATTTGGAATATTATGTTCAATTCTAGTCACCACAATACTAGAAGGATGTGGTGGCTTTGGAGAGGGTACAAAAAAGATTTATCAGGATGTTGCCTGGTATGGAGGGCATTAGCTATGAGGAGAGGTTGGAGAAACTTGGGTTGTTCTCACTGGAATGACGGAGGTTGAGGGGTGACCTGATAGAGGTCTACAAGATTATGAAGGGCATGGGCAGAGTGGACAGTCAGAAGCTTTTTCCAAGGGTAGAAGAGTCAGTTATCAGGGACCATAGGTTTAAGGTGCGAGGGGCAAGATTTAAAGGTGATGTGCGAGGCAAGTTTTTTTACACAGACAATGGTGGGTGCCTGGAACCGGCTGCCGGGGGAGGTCGTGGAAGCAGATACTATAGTGACTTTTAAAGGGGGTCTTGACAAATATATGAATAGGTTGGGAATAGAGGGGTATGGTCCCCGGAAGGGTAGGGGGTTTTAGTTGTGATGGGCAACATGTCGGTGCAGGCTTGGAGGGCTGAAGGGCCTGTTCCTGTGCTGTAATTTTCTTTGTTCTTTGTTTGTTGTTTGTTGGTCCAACCAGTCCGTGCTGAACATAATCCCAAACTAAACTAGTCCACCTGCCTGTGCTTGGCCCATATCCCTCCAAACCTTTCCTATTTAAGTACTTATCCAAATGTCTTTTAAACATTGTAATTGTACCTGCATCCACCACTTCCTCAGGAAGTTCATTCCACATGCAAACCACCCTCTGTAAGAAAAAATTGCCTCTTACGTCTCTTTTAAATCTCTCTACTTTCACCTTAAA